GAGCAAAGATAGAGAAACGCTCTAAGTACTACCCGACGCACCTTTTCCTCCTCTTTTTAACTGTCATGCTACATTTCGTTACTCTTTTGCTTACTGAGATAAGGGCCAAAATTTCGAACCCGTGGTTTTTCCTATGTCCAAGTTTGGCAATTTTTCACAATCTTCATTTTCAACTTTTGGAAGTCCTTTGACATAGAGTAAACAAAGGGCAATGCAATGCAATTTTTTGGCTTGTCCAGCTGGCATTTCAGTATTTTTTAAGATAATTTTTCCAAAAGTCTTCATTTTGGGAAGTCCCAAAATACAGAAACGCCTCGAACACTAACAAATCATAGGATTTTTAAGCTTTCAAAAGTCAATTACGATTATTCACTATTTTTAAAGCAACTGAGCGTTTACCGCTTCGAAATATGAGATTTCGCATTTTACGGTACACGCTGGGGCGGGGTGAAATTTAATTTATGGAAATTTTATCGCTAAAGACCCCACAAATTGGAGGAGAGATACACTCACTGGAAAGAGGAGAAAAAGCTGCATCGAATGACACCTTATTGTGCGCCGTTTTATGTTCTATGGTTCATGGCATCACCAAAAGTGGAATTTGATAGCATCAGAAAAATAATTCTAAAAATTTTTCAAGGCTAGCTATAGATGCCGCAAAATTGCATTGCGTTGCCCTTTGTTTACTCTATGTGACCGCTATCAAAGGAATTCCAAAAGTTGAAAAGAAGATTGTGAAAAATTGCCAAATTTGGACATAGTAAAAAACACGGGTTTGAAATTTTGGCCTTATCTCAGTAAGCAAAAGAGTAATCGACATGGAAGCATGGCAGTTAAAAAGAGGAGGAAAAGATGCGTCGAGTAGTGCTTAGAGCGTTTCTCTATCTTCGCTCCACGTGTTTTTATGATAGGTTGAAAAAACGGACAAAACTTTCGGGACAACCTAATATTACGATTTTGACCGAAAAGCAAAACAGGCAATTTTACATCTTTTTATTAGGATACAATATCATAGAATTAAAAACCCACCGAGCTTGACTTCTCGCTGAGCTAGTCTCAAATTGTTTGGCGCTTAGATACACGCGGAAATAACTGTGGCGCACGTAGAGTCTTCAAAATGGCTGTGATTTGACTCATAGGCGGCGATGGCGTCATTTGGTGGCGTTCTAGGCGTTTGCGGTTGTTCTTTTTTCTAGTATCTTATTGAACTTTTCTCGTGATTTGACTTGACACTGGAACGGATCGAACTACAGATGCTCTTCGGCTAACTTTCCATTCCCTTCCAAAGACTGCTCAACAAAGAACGCTGACAATTTGCTTTTTTGGACAAACATTTCTCAATCATCGCCTACAAATGATTTTTTTTGTTTCTTAATGCCATCCTCAGAAATTGTAGTTCGAGTTGTCGGAGTAGCCGGTTGTGAATAGGAAGACCGCACTTTTGGCGCGTTGTTTCTTTTGTAGAAATTCGGAATCAAGGTGCTCCAAATAGCGGTTAAGGAAATAGATCGCTTGTCTCGTCATCACTACTTTATGCCTGAGCGATAACACCTCCTTTATAAATCGAAAGTGCTCAGCTGGTACTTTTAGTGACCTTCCAAGTTCGCCTTTATATGAATCTTGGCATCTTGTTGTACAATTATGTGCAATTGATGAGCCTTATATAGCCAAGATTGTTAATGTTTTTTATCAGTCCTACGTTTCGGCTTTTCGCTTTCGTCAGAGCCTGAAATAGAGGAGCAAATGAAAATTATACTCCAGATGTCTTATCACACACAGGTAAAGTTCAAAGTTGCCCTGCGTAGATTTTCACCATAATTATTGAAACATGCCCGAAAAGCCAAGATGGTGTCATCCTATAACACGTTAAAGGCTATGTCAGTAAGAAGGCACACCAAATTGCTGTAGTTAACGGATATCAACCCAGGAGAGTGCATCGTCATCAAATCGCATACGAACCCTAGCCATAAAGTGTCACATTGTTTTCCTTTCATTTCAGATACATTGAGCAACGCGGTTAGACTGTGTTCGAGAAGCTGGGTTGCAAGATTCATTGTGTCTTGTCGAAGTACCCCTCTCCGAACCTTAAACGGCGTTTGGTGCGAAACAGAGCAAGCTTGCACAGTAACGGATTGCTTGATATGCGTCCCGAATAAGCAAGACGTTTGCATGTGCTCGGGCGTGATTTACCTTTAGGGTGTGAATGTAGCGATGAATACACCGTAGAGACGGGTAGGTCACTGGATCTTAAATCAAGCGCATGGAAGGGATGAGCAAAATGAGAATGTCGACTCCGCTGGGCACGCATCGAAAATTACACCACGAGGAAGCAGAACTCGATATTTTGGTGCCGATTCTGGCGCCATAAACAGAAACAGCAGCTCCTAAACATTAGAAGCAGGATGGATTCTCACCAGAAATCCAAAAATGAATAGAAAAAAGAGAGTGCTGTTGTAACGAATGAAGTCGCACGATTTATAAAACTATGCGGGCTTTGTTCCAAGATCATCATTTATACTTACGTTAGCTCATTAAGCACTTAACGCCTGCGAGTGGTGGTCCTCTACTGGCGAGGGGAGCTGTCTACGCGGGATGCAACTTTAAACTTTCCCTGTGCGTGATGAGACATCTGGAGAATAATCTTCATCTGCTCTCTTTTTGGGCTTTGACGAAGGCGAAAAACCGAAAGGCAAGCTCAATAAAGAACTTCTAAAATCTTGGCTACATAAGGCTTAGCAATGCACATACTCAGATAATCGCTGGGGGCAGGCGGTCCGCAAACTCGCGCTTTTCTGCAGGCGGTTAGCAGAATTTTGGGGGGTGGCCAAACCTTCAGCTGGCGGCACTTCCTTTACGGTCGCATATTCTGCCAGCGGGCAGCAATACAACATTTTTTGCAAGCGCTCGACAAGCAATTTTTTCAGCGAGCGCTGGCCAAAACAGCAAGCACTCGGACTCTTTTTACGCATTTTCGGGCGTACGTCGAGCTCAGATAATCGCGGGGGGCAGGCGGTCCGCAAACTCGCATTTTCTTGCAGGCGGTCAGAATAATTTTGGGGCGTGGCCAAACCTTCAGCGGGCGGCACCTCCTCTATTGTCGAATGTCCTGCTAGCGCTCAGACAATCGCCGGGGGCAGGCGGGCACCGGAAAAATAGATTGCTGATCTCTCGCACCCCGCTCGCGGATTTTTTGGAAAGCAATCAGAACTTTTCGGAAGACCGCTTGCTGAGTTCTCGATTCCTCAGAGATTCAGCAATATATCTGCAAAAGATAAGAGCGAAAAAATTCAGCAGGCGGTCTCTCAAAAATCCGCTGACTCAGCAAGCGGACTTCCGAAAAGTCCTGATTGCTTTGCAAAAAATCCGCGAGCTGGGTGCGAGAAATCAGCAATCTATTTTTCCGGTGCCCGCCTGCCCCCAGCGATTGTCCGAGCGGGGCAGAATACAGAGTTTTCTGCGGGCGCTCGTCAAATAATCTCTTTCAGCGAACGCTGGCCAAAGTTTCAGCGGGCGCTCGGAGTCTTTCTAAGCATTTTCGGGCGTACGTCGAGCAAATGTATGCTGCAGAGGTGGTCATCGATGGTTTAAACTCAAGTTTGAGGTACTTTCTCTTAGCGGAAAGTACCTGAGGGCTGTGCGGTCTTCCATAAAGGACCGCGCGGCCCTCAATAATTTTGCATATTCTCGCGGAAAGTCCGCGAGTATGCGGCCAATGCGCCGCAACTAATCTATAGGAAAATTGCGATAGTTCTCCGAGCATTCGTCTAAAATTTGGTCAACATTCCTCCAAGTTTCTGCAAGCGGGCCGCAAGAAATCAGCGAACCATTTTTCCGGTGCCCGCTTGCTCAAAATTCGCCTGCCCCCCGCGATTATCTGAGAGCACAGGTAAGACTCTGTGTGGCAGAGGTGTCGCCGTTGGTTGAATTACTCAAGTTTGAGGTACCTTCTCTCAGCGGAAAGTACCTGAGGGCTGTGCGGTCTTCCATAAAGGACCGTGCGGCCCCCGGAAATTTTGCATATTCTCGCGGAAATCCGCGAGAATGCGGGCTGCGGCTAATCTATAAGGAAACCGCGATTGTTCTCCAAGCATTCGTCTAAAATTTCGCTAAAATTACTCCAAATTTCGGCAAGCGGACCGCAAAAAATCAGCAAACTATTTTTCCTGCGCGCTTGCTCAAAATATGGCCGCCTGCCCCCGGCGATTGTCTAAGTATTTGTACATCGTGTCCTGTTTTTTCATGCATTCGGCAGATCTTGCTTCGTCTATAATGTAAACAAAGACACAGAGCTTAATTCTTTTTATGGGGGATTGGTGAAAATTTGTGAAAAGGCGTTTTTCTTTAACTTGTTCTTCTTCAAGTTTTCGCAGCGGTTTTTTTCTAGATTGGGATCATTGTTCAGAATAATGAGCGCAAAATTCAGACGATCGCAGGAAACTAGAACGACGCTGCGGAGATAAAAATCCAAAAAACGCACCAAAAAGCCAAATTGGCTTTGACTTGCATTTCAACCTAGTAAAAACAAAACTTTGCATTTTCATCACTGATTCCTTCACTTAACTCACTCTTCAGCTCCAGCTTTTTATCCCTTTCTTGATGATCACCACTTCCAAACATAGAAACATAGTGTTTTTGAAATAACAATGACAGAATTAACTTCGGTTGTCCCATGTGTTGTGAATTGTCTGGTCCTGGGAAAACCTGCAATTCGAAATGCGGCCAAATGAAGGAATCCAAGCTCTTTGCAGCAGTCTTATCTGGTCTTTATGTTTTGCTGTTGCTATCAGTTTTGCATCTTTTTTCTGCTCTCATTTTCCAAACCTTCACTTTTAATGAGGGGCAGGTATTTAACCAACCTTCACTTGAGCCCTCTCTTTAGGCTATCGAAGGTATTCTTTCGACGTCTATAAATATTCCTCTCCCCCTTTCTTCCCTACCATTGTTCATTGACTGCTGAAGCTCGTGTACTTCCCAAATTGGAACGAATTATGCTGTTGTATGTTTCAGTTTCCTCATATGCACAATCTGCAGCAGAAGAATAGATTCGAGGTATCGGTCGGTGTTTTTGAATATTTAGTCGCTCTGCAGTAGCAGTATGAACATGTACTTTTTGCGACTTCAAGAGTTTTGAATATTTCGAGAACAATTTTTTGTTAAAGTTTTTTTTTACAGAAAGCAAAGCCGTTCACGCTACACTGTTCACTATTGCTGTTGGTTCTTGCGTACGCATTCGCTGGTGGTCTTATTTTCAATCGCTTGGAAGCCGAAGCATTTCAACGTCACCAGCAAGAAGCACGCCAAAGGAAGATTGATTGCGTCTTTCAGGTATAAAAAACAATCCTACTGCTGACATAGTAGTGCTTAGTTACATCTTTGGATGCTGAAAGATACGTTCGCTGATCCGAGGACACAGCCTCAAAAGTGTTGGTTGTTTTACTTGCTTTTGACGTAGGAAGCTCATTTGGCCAAAGTGGCCGAGCAAAGTGATGTACACCGACAAATAGAGCTCAAAAAGCTGGCTTCAATTATGCTCTTCTCTGCGAAGCTTTTTTCTGAAGAAAGTTATGCGTTTTTTATGCTAAGGCTACGTGAATTTGAGACAAAATTACGGTAATTTCCACAAAGGAGTATGGAGGCTCAAACAATTTACCTGTAAGCATCAAACGTCTAGACGGTTTCCACCATGTTGTTAGAGTAGGCGTCATTTTCTGGGCAACATTTCCATCACAAATGCAAAAAAGTCTGTAGCTGGCTTTGTAGAAGCCCTTCGCAGAGAAGGTATAATTGAGATCATGGTTCAAGTCCTATCCATTGGTGTGCAAAACTTTTTAAAGTCCCACTCATACTAAGTGCAGCATGCATTGACATCCCTGCCGACGGAAATCGCAGTTTGAAGGTAGCATCCACTCAAAATCTCGCCTTCCGTGCTCTTGTCATTTTGGAGTCTTTCCGTTGGCCTGATTACAATTATGAAGTTCGAAATGTCCAAAATTCCTGGGAGCGCTGTCCTAGAGACACGGCGACTTTCAGTACCTATGTGAGCGGAGCTTGATAGGATCTGGGCGTTTCTTGATAGCACTTTCGCTATTTTAGGTCCATAATCTCCATTCAGAGACAACACTGGAGAACCGGACTAACGCAGGTGCCTCTCTCCTGGGGCTACATGTAGGACATGTAGGATCGGCACCTCCAAAGGGGTTAGAAATAGGCTGGACACTGCCTTTAATGGACTTCGTATCCTGAAGCTTCAGACATGTGGATTCTACGATGTCTACATATCCGTGATCCTCCTATCTCTCACTATACAGGGGTGGGGGAACGAAAGCCGCCAGGTCCAGCCGCCTTTCGCGGCCAGCTGGTCCTTTCGCAGCGTTGTTGCATGTCGTTCCAGGACCAGCAGTCCGCGGAGGCGGCTGGACCTGGCGGCTTTCGTTCCCCCACCCACTATACAGATATCAAACCGGAGCGAGAAGCTGTGCATGCATGATCCCTTGATGATCCCCGGTGGCCGATTGTTTTTTAAGTCGTTTTTCTTTCTTTAAAGTCGAAGAAAACATGCCAAAGTTTTACTGATCATCTAACCTAACAGTGTTAAGCATGTTCTGATTAGAACAAACGATGCATCAAAGTCACGAACTTTGTGATGAAATACAGGTCGAAAGTTGAAGCTTATCGAGAATCTCGCTATCTTAATAACTCATCTTATCTGAAATCTTAGCACTGTTGGGCTAGATGATATGTACAACTTTGAAATGTTTACGTTGACTTCGAAGAAAGAAGAATCATTTTAAAGGAAAGACGGTCTTTCGGAAATTATTAGAGGATCATACGAAAGTTGGGAAATGCGGCTTGCACAAACTCTCGCGCCTGTTTAATATGTTTAGAAGGAAAATTAAGAGGAATACTCACGGATAGATAAACAGCATGAATCTAGACATCTCTTCATTGAATGAAGCTTGCTTTTGAGCAGCGAGCGATCTTCTCCTCAGCGGGGATTTTGAAGGCATTGCCTCGGCAGAATTTTGCTTTACAGTTTTTCATTTTTCAGAGCCTTCTCGCCACGAGGAATCCATATCTGGGCTTGTTAGTGCTTGAAAATGCCGAAAATGAGCTGTTTCTGAAGCTTTTCAGGTCCGCATTTAGTAAAGATACGTCGAAAGTTTTTCGCGCCTCGCCTCCCTCGTTCCGGGCTCGACCACTTGCACGTATTTCCCACTGAATTCGGGCCTGGACAGCTTCGGAAAAGCTCATTTTCGTCATTTTCATCCGCTGAGAAGCCAGTTACAATACCACCCGTAATTTGTGAAAAAAATGGCGGCGCCGCATGAGTTAAGTGCCGCCGCCATTTTTTTTTTCACAAATTACGGGTGGTATTATATATCCGTTCCTCATAGCGAGAAGGTTTCGAAAAAATGAAAATCTGGAAAACGAAATTCTGCCGAGACACTGCCTTCAATGTAAGCGGCCCCAAGTGACCTTCCGTTGTACGGAAGGTCACTTGGAGCCGGCTTACTAATGACTTGATGTTCGCCATATCAAAGACCTTAGTTGGACATGTATTCAAATCCAAACTAAATTTTACTCTAAGAGTTCGGCTGAATAATAAAAACATAGTGTTAACATCGTTTTGAGTTTAAACGGACATAGGCTAGAAGGAGCATAGTGCAGGGTACCGTGGAAAAGTTATGTGAATGGAGGTTGTGGCAGGTTTTTTTTTGGAAAATACCCCGCTACAACAAAATGATAAAATGGCTCGTTTGCAACGCACAGATGAGGACATAGCACGAAATTTGATGTGTATACGTGCAGGGGGATTAATAAACAGAGTATGAAGAAATATGAAAAAAAATGTTTGAATAAAGGGCGTGCTTAACTTTTTTCCAAATAAGGTGCCCACCTAATGCCCAACTGAGCTAGGCAAAACCCCTATTTCACAAAAGCTTCTCAGAATTCTCACATAATTCTGTTTAACACCTGGGTGTAGTATATAGTAGTAGTATATTGTAGCATTTTGGTTCCAAAGTTCCTGCTTTCCTCCGTGTTGGGTTCTGGAATAGCAACGACGCCGGTCTTTTTGAGGGATAAAGCAAGCTCCAATCGAATGACTGAGCAGTTGCGGGATCAAGTGAGAAGTCGTAAAAATCGTTAGTGTGAAAATGAAGTCGTTTCACCGACGTCTATTCACCACAAGAATAGTCACAGCATAACAAGCGTTGGGTAGTAGAACTTAGAAGAGCCCGGTCAGGGAGTAGCAAATTATTGTAAAAATCCATGATAATGGCACAACCACAAAAGAATAGAAATAAAACATTTGATTCAACTGGCTTGGCATTTGGGAAGGCGGGGCTTCGTGACCTAATTAAGGCTAGGTAATGATCAGAGAGCACTCGCGCAAGAGAGACGCAGGTGCGTCGCGGGCGCGAGCGGCCTCAATTAGGCCACAAAGCCCCGCCCTGATGGTGCCAAGCCAGTTGAATCAAAGGTTATTAGGTAATCCGGAAAATAGTATTGCATTACGTGCTACTTGATAGAGTGAATAGGAGGAAACGTGAGTGAGATAGGTATTTTTTGATGTAGCAAAGAGCTTTGCAAACTTTGTTACTTGTTGATCGAAAGTCGTAGAGTAAAAGGTTTAGCGCACCGAGAAAATCAAACCTCCTCTAAAAAATCTTACGAACTTCCAATTTCTCACCATGTATTGGATTGGCGGCTAATTTCCGTTGCGCTTTGTTCTTATTTCTTAAAATCTAAGAGATTTCGACCAATATTATGTTTCCGCGGCTCGTGCGCAAAACACCACTTGATAGATGAGAGTACGTTTTGTGAACATTTTCGTCCTAAGTTGATGGTGCCATGTTGTCGCATTGACATTCTCACAAGGACAAATTTTTTCAAAAAAAATATCGAAATTATTTTTAACTTCTCCATCAGATCCTACACGCTGCATACGAAAGGAAAAGTTCTCTACAAATTTTTAATTTTTTAAAGATTTTTTACCTCTCGTTTTTGACACGCTAGTGGCATCAGAGTATACCATAAAGATGACAATGCTAAGAATATTCTTCAAAAATTGTAGTTTGTAGAAAAACACATTTAGACGCAGAGGAAAAATTTAAGAGAATTGAAATTCTGCATGTGTCTGCAGAACTGTCGTAAAGTTGATGTTATTTTGCATTTGCGTCATCGATTATAATGTTGTGTACGCCCTGTTGTGCCCTCATATGGAGCAAAGTTGGAGATTTTAGGGATTTTTGGTTTTTCTGGAGTCAAAGAGGAAAATTGTAACAGAAATTATTTAATACAGGGTGTTTGAAAAGTTCGTGGCCTTCTAGTACTTCAACTGCGAATCCTAACTCATTTTTTGCTATATATGTTCGCTAAACCTAGAAACTACTGGGTCAACGAAGAAAAACATTTTTTGCCTCAAGATACCTCTTCTTCGAAGAGGCGTCACCTGAGCTGTTAGACTTTTTTTCAACGCCGGAAAACGGAGACAGCTTTCCGTTTTTTTACTACAAATATTCCTAAGCTTACACTTTCTTTATATAATAAAAGTTTCTCAGCAGCTTGCGTACAAAAATTTTTTCATGTGCTGATTTAGAGCAGACAATCGTGGCACAAGTTTGCGTTGGAATTTTTTCGGTTTAAAAAGTTTTGGAAACCTTATTTCAACATGTATTTGTAGCGCAGTTCTCTGATCTTCATTGTATTAATTTTCATGATTTTGCACACATGTGAAGGTTTGAAAGGTAAAATTAAAAATTTTTGGTGCTGTGCTTTGATGACGAAAAAATCCTGGAACTGAATTTCTAGTATTTCAAGGCATTGATGTCTTTTAATCTAATAAAAAAAACTAAAAAACCACAAAAAACATGGTTTCACTGAAGTAATGGTATCTAGGCCTGATGAGCACAATAAAACAAAGAACGCATCAAAATCTGAATTGGAATTACTTTAGGCCACTTAGTTTCCAAACACCCTGTGCAATCAGATTTTCACATGCAAAGTTGGCGAACTTTCATGTGTTACCATACGGGGAACAAAAATAGGTCAAATACGAAATTGTCGCTTTCTTCGGATTTTTTAATGCTTACAAAGTCTAGACTATGGAATTATTCATATGAGAAAAGCCCAGAATAATTTCAGCAAAAGCATTCTAGCTATGTAAAAATTGCGAAACTGTGCATGGAAGTCTCTGATATGCAGGTGTATGCGTGAGCAAGTCGGGGATCAGTAGGGGTTAGGTGGCATACCCGGCTCTGCCCGGCCTTGTCAAAACACTATGTCAAAGGTTACTATTTTTTATTTTATTCTATCTTACAATACACTCGATAGGTGTGCCAGAAATAAGAAAGAACGAAAAGTGGAATAAATAGAAAACATAATACAGTGAACGAACATAATTGCTTAACGCGATACAATGTGATGTAAACAAGGCCCCGGATCAACGGTTAATAAGCACTCCACGTAAAGAATAAGAAAGCAGAAGGCAAGGCTGGTCAAAGACTAGACTTCAGCACCTTGCTGTCTCAATGATACCTGACAACCCTGAAATTAGGTGTCAGCGAGCCTACGGGTGGAGGCTAGCTGAGTTGGCCCCGACAAAGAATAGTCTGGGAGAAGGCAAGATATGGCTGAAGTACTAGGCATGGAGATGCATGAAGACAAGCAATAGATATTAATGACTTTTGAAACGATCTGATGTAAGGCTGGGGGCGGTGAAGTGGAGACAAAGTTTCCTTGATATACGACAAGCTGATAAAACTAATCATAATACAGCACTGCAGCAAAGGCACTTTCAGGAACATTCAAAAGGGGAAAAGAAGTGGATGCAGCAATAACAGCCAGAACCACACCATATCCCAACCGAAGCGATGCATTAGCCAGGAAAACGACGATAAGGCTCCTGCGAAAGCCAAACCATGGGGAAAATAGCAGCAACTGATTGACAACTATAAGGCTGAGGGACATCGTATTTGAAGCTGTCATCTAAAAATCAGGGCTGGTAGTAATCTGGTCGAAACTCCGAGTTCAAAGCTGCGCGTTAACTCAGAGTTTCGTTTTGAAACTCCGAGTTAACTGCGAGTTTCGTTTCTGAAACTCGGAGTTACGTTCTGCTACTTGAGGATCCGCTCTAGTTGTTGAGGAGCCGCCACGTGCTTCATCGCAAAACCCTGTGATTAAGACGGGTCTCAAACTTCCGTTGCTCGGCGCGAAGTGCCTACATCTAGACCGCTAGGCCAAAGAGCCACTATTGCACATTGCCGCAATTGCTTAGTGAATCCACGTAATCAAGATCTCACATGTCAAGACACGAAATAAACAAGTTATTTGCACATTTTTATAACCCATGTAGGTAAGGTTCACCCCCCGCCCCCTTCAATCCGCTACTGGTGCCTAGCCATAATACATCCTAAAGATTCTCAAAAAAGTAGCAGGATAAAACATGGACATAGACAGTAACCTAACAATCCGTCCCCCTTCCCTCTCACCACCTCTTTGATATGCTATTATACTTGATAAAATTCGAAAGTCTGTTAGTTTCCAAAATTTTTTGAATAACATCAATCTATAATTTGTAATGAGAAATAGACCATTATTTTAGGAAAATAGACTTCAAGTAGTAAACAAAGTCTACAGATCATTCGTAAATTGACTGTTAGAATTTCAAAAGATTTCTGAATAATGTAGCAAATTTCGAAAAATTTTTCTCGAGGTTTCTGTTGGCACAATAAAAAAAGAAATAATTTAAAAAACTCCCTGGTATCATTTCTTTTTTGCTAGGAAAGTTCAACTCGACCTGAGATTTTTGTCGCTCTTCCGTATACGCCCATCGTAATAATCCTCATTGAAAACGGACAGCATGATCATAATTGCATTGCCAAATGAACTCAGTGGCGAATTTTTAAGCAGTTCAGTAAGTTTATTTCACCACATCTACTGCAGCCCCATCGCATAGTCTTGCAGTACTAACAGTGGCGGACCGAAGGGGAGGCTCCCCCTCTCCCCGAGATGGGTCGCGAAATTTTTGAAATTTACTTACTGTGTTATAAAAATGTGCAAATGACTTGTTCGTTCTTGTAAATGATAAAATTATTATTGGAAAATTCTTAAGATTCAAATTAGCTTGTAAAAATACTTTTTGGGGGCGTAGCTGCTGACAAGCCCCCTTTTCCTATAATTTAGGGGTATGGGCCAGCAAAAAATGTTAAGAAGCACCTCGAAAAATTGTCGCCATGCACCTTCACTTGGAAAATTTTTTGTCCCCCTTCCCCCCCCCCCTCCTCCCGGACGGAAATCCTGCGACCGCCACTGGTACCTAAGTATTTAGCTAAACTTTCCCTGAAAAAAGTTCTAAGTGAGATTTTTTTATCCATCTACCGTAAATACTAGAAACCCCTTTTTGAAAAGTATTTTCAAGCGACTATGATATTCCTGATTAACGTGCGGAATTAACGAAGCCAACTTTCATGAAATCCTGTGGTTTTAGGTAGTCTACCGTGTCTCTTCTCCGCTATAAACCGCTGTAGTGAAAAGTGCGCAATGTGATCGTAATCAACACACCGCGCAACGCCACTGAGCCAACCAATTTTAAATCTGTTATGGGACTTTGGCTTTCACCAAATTCCTACAGTAACCCTGCTCTATCTCTCCGCAGTGAAAAATGATTCCCACATCCGAATTAGCGCAGCGAATAACCCCGTCAGACCAAGTTTCAGTCAACTGATTGAATCTCGCCCAACTACCGTATTCCTACCGTAACCTCGCTGTGTGGGCGAATGGCGAAAAATGACTATCATAGTCGTTATCAGCGTGCCAAATAACCTCAATGTACCAAGTTTCAGTCAACTGGTTGAATCTCGCTCAACTACCGTATACCTACCGTAATCCCGCTCCGTGGCCCCATAGCGAAAAACGAATGTTATATTCATGATCAGCATGCCAAAAAACCTCATTGTACCAAGTTTCAGCCAATTTCGTGACTTTCGCCCAACTACCGTATCCCTACCGTAACATCGCTAAATGGTCCCGCAATTCAAAATTG